TTCGATCAATGAGAGGTGCTTGATTCTGTTCTTGATGATATCAATGATATGTGCCGTTCCAGACATAAGACAGCTAGGAATGTAAGTAGATAAAAGCCAAGCCATCTCCAGGACAGCGAAGCAAAGCGAAGCGCTCCTAGTAGCGTTCTTGTTCCTAATAGTAAGGCCAGGAGCCCCTAGTAGCGTCCTTGCTCCTAGTAGCGATGCCCTTTGTTCCTAGTAGCTTCTTGTTGACTATTTGTTAATTGCTGAGGAGTGTGAGAAACCCCTCAAGCATCCGAATGAAACCTAGATGCGTGTTCATTTTTTGGCAGTTATATAGGATTTCTGAAGGGAACAATGCAGCTCCTACAGTTACCTCACATTGACAAATACGAGGACGCCTGGAGTTTTGGAGGATCTCGCCTAAAGCAGATCTGGATCATCCAAACTTTCCATTTCTATTGAGCAAATCTGAGATTGATCAAGAAAGACATGTGAAACAAAAGGAACCCTTGTGCTCAAAAGTTTAGTTTTCGACAGCAAATTTTGCTGAATTCGCGCCGCAGTCATAAAAGACAATGTTTAGACGGGTTGCCACTTGTGTGCTGTTGTCTGTTTGAGAAGGGAAGCTTCAAAGACCTGGCAGGCACTTGTACTGTGATTTTGAACAAGTATTTAAGTATGTGTTGCTCTATTTCTTAAATTCTATTCACTCTCTTTCGGTGTTTCTGTTTCTCACACATATCTCCTTATCCAACGGATGCGCGCAAATTGACAAACCCCACTCCTAGAGCTGCCTCTATACAAACAGCTCCCAGCTGAGCAGATATTCGCCCAAGAGAGAAAAGTCATCGGGCAACTGCTCCTTGTTGTGTATCAAGTGGGTACAAACCTGCCAATCCCGAAACACCGCTTTATCCTACGTTTTCGTTTTTACCCAGTTGTTTTCTTCATTTTCCTTTTACAGCCCGCCCCTACTTAATTGAGTAGGCGCCTACTTACTGTAATTAAGAGAGTAAGCTCCTAGCACTAAAGCTTCTAGTAACTGGACGCAGGATAGCGCTCGTACTGATGATTTGGTTTAGAGATGGGGAGTTGTCTAGTTTTCTGTGGACCTTGCCATTCTTACTCTGTTTCCATATCAGTCTTGCTAATCAAACTCTCAAAGGTTTGGGATCAAAGCAATCGGGAGGTAGTCCACCTGTTGCTGCTCCCTGTCCCTCTCAATCACGCCAAGAGAACCCGCTGGGCGCCCGGAGACACTTTGGAAGCATCGGGGTTCGACACAAACGACGTGGTGGATGAAAGTTTGGAACTTCTTGCGGTTTGTATGTTCCGAGTAGCGTTCTTGTTCCTAGTAGTAAGGCCAGGAGCCCCTAGTAGCGTCCTTGCTCCTAGTAGCGATGCCCTTTGCTCCTAGTAGCGTTCTTGCTCCTAGTATTTCATAGTTTGTCATAATACTGCATAGTGAAGCTCTTCAATCGCGATAGCTTCTGCATTTGTCCTTCAAGGTACCCAATGCATTTTACGAAGGATCGTTGGAATCCAATGCCGGCTCAGACACTGACACAGGCGATTGGCAAGAATCGTTGCTTCCAATTTGCTAGACACATTCTTGAGAGCAGTCGTTGCATTGTTTTCTTTGTTACACCAAAGATCTATTCTTTCCGTTTGCATTGTAAGGGTTTTTGTGGGGCTTAACCGAACATATAGGTGGAGGCCATCGCTAGTAGGTTGGAGGCCATTGCCAGGTAGTTCACTTCTGTGTGTACATTTGGTGTTGTTAAATGTGGCTGGTCAGGTGCCCTTCTCTTACATGCAGGCAGCGATGTGAAACGCAGAGCACATGCAATTTCTTTGGAGCAAAGGGCATCGCTACTAGGGGCTCCTGGCCTTACTACTAGGAGCAAGAAGCTATTAGAAACAATAAAGAACAATTAAGTCTAATTAGAATTTAATTAGAATTGAAACAACAAGCTACTAGGATCTTTTCCCATAGCCTCCATCCTGAAAGCGATGGCCTCCAACCTAAGAGCGATGGCCTCCACTCTAGTAGCGACGCTAGTAGCGATGGGCCCCAACCCCAACCCATTAGCTATGGCCTCCAACCTGAAGTCTTTGAAGTGCGCACTCTTTCGAAGTCGAAGTGGCAGGCACCGCAGATGTCTGCCACTGCTGAGGCGGCTTTGACCATCCAAATCCAAACCATATTTTGGTTCACTTTCTTTTCAGCGGTTCGCTAGAATTGGGATTTTTGCTTGCTTTGTTACTTATTGTCCTATTGTTTATTTGAAACCAGGAGAAGGCAAGTATTGTTTTGGTTTGATGAGATCGTTGAACATTCAATAGAAAGGGTAAATGATGAGATGGTTGATGGATTCAATTCCCCCGCCTGGTGTGAATCTACGAGTGGTATTGCTGTGAAGTGATGCCCGTGTGGACTTGTAACGTGACAGAGCACGATGTGGTCATGTTTGTGCTGAAGTGTACTGGGGCGACTTGTTACTACTAGCGTGGCACCTGTTACTAGTAGCTACTTGTTACTACTAGTAAGGCACTTGTTACTACTAGCGATGCACCTGTTACTACTAGCGTGGCACTTGTTACTACTCCGAGGGTCTAGGTGCTGCTAGAGGGTTGAAGTCCACCCAATTGCAGGCTTTTGTTCCTTCAATGCAGCCATGGATGCCCGCACTGCATAGCGCAATGCACAGCAGAATGCCTGGCCCCATGCAAAGTGGAGGACCGAAGTAATATATGGCAAAGACTGAGAAGAGATGAGGATTTTGTTCACGTGCCTTCAATCTGGAAGCCATGGCCTCCAACCTAATGAAACCTAATAGCGATGGCCTCCCACCTAATAGCAATGGCCTCCAACCTAATAGTGAATGCCTCCAACCTAATAGCAATATCCTCTACCCTACAAGCGATGGCCTCCAACCTACTAGCGATGGCCTCCAATATCGATGGCCTCCAACCTACTAGCAGCAGCAATGGTCTCCAACCTACTAGAGATGGCCTCCAACCTAATGCGCACACAGGATTAAGTAACCACCCCCTATTAATCAATCCCAGCTCGACCCCCCAATACTAAACTAATTTAAAATATTTTATAATCTGGATTTCCACCTTGGCATCACCCTAATAACTGTTTTCCTAGGCAGAAACCTCCCCCTATTAATCAATCCCAGCTGCCCCAGAAAACATATAGTTTATTGTAATTCTAATTCTTTATTGTGTTCTTTTTTGCTAGTAATCAATATCTTCATCTCCTCATCTTCCTGATTCTCACCACCACCTCTCAACTGCCCCATCCTGCTCACCAATCCTTTTGATGGCTTATCATGGCACAGAATCCCATCAACCATCATCCATCATCAGGTCCAGGTCCTCATCTCATCATCCATCATCAGGTCTAAGAACGATGGCCTCCAACCTACTAGTTGCAAGAAAGGCTCCATGTTTCTGAGGGTGTAAACTAGCTTATTGTTACTACTAGCAAACATTGTTACTACTAGTAAGGCACTTGTTACTACTAGCGATGCACCTGTTACTAGTAGCTACTTGTTACTGGCTTCCATTCTGCTTCGGATGTTTTCCGAAAGGAGCTTCGAGCGCGGTGGATGAGACAGTGTATCAATGACGGACACAGCGCTGAAGAAGCGGGTCGTCCGTGGCTTCAAGTTTCAAAGGCAGAAACCGGTACTCCACGGTCTAAAGCGGTCAACAGTAAAGCGCAAAAAAGAGTGTTCCTGTGTTTCAACGAGAGGAAAGTATCTCGAAACGTCTTTGGTTCATGTTTGTTAATAGTTATATAGAGGATCTGTGATTGTATTCATTTCTTTGTTTTTTTAAAGTCTTTAAGTGTGTTCACAGAGCTGCAAGACCAGAGACTGAGACTGCACAAAGCATGGCTAAGCATCGCGAATCACTTCTTCGCCAAGTTTGAAAAGATTAAAGAGATAGAAGGAACGTCATTTTGTAGTTGTGCAGATAGCTTAGATAGCTTTCAGAACTCGCAATTCCTTAAAACCTGCTCTCAATGGATGACAGTGGCCTATTCACAAGCTGAGTGGCTGTCTCCTACGCCGCTAAGACTGCGGCAGATTTCGAGCAGAAAGGGTCTTTGTGCTCTTTGCATTCGAGACTCCGACGAAGATTGGGACTAAGACTCGCAACTAGGACGCTACTAGGAGCAAAGGGCATCGATGCTAGGAAGAAGGACGCTACTAGGGGCTCCTGGCCTTACTACTAGGAGCAAGAACGCTACTAGGGGCTCCTGGCATCGCTACTAGGAGCAAGGACGCTACTAGGGGCTCTTGGCCTTACCACTAGGAGCAAGAACGCTACTAGGAGCTTTCTAAGACTCCGACGAAGATTGGGAGCGTGTGTGGCTGTCCCTGTGGGTTTGCCTTGGCCATTGTGCGCAGATTGGCTCACTAGGTCATGAGCAAACTTGCACAATCAGGTCTAATCCGACTAATTAGACATAGCTCAACTTACCGACCCTTCTGGACTCAAAGTATGTCACACTTTGACCCCCGAAAATGACAACATCTCTTTTGTTTTCCCGCTTCTAGTAACAAGTGCCTTACTAGTAACAAAAACGCTACTAGGGGCTCCTGGCCTTACCACTAGGAGCAAGAACGCTACTAGGAGCTTTTGTTTTCCCGCTCTTGTGTGCTTGGCATCTTCGTCTGAGCACAGTCAGACGTACAGTCTGAGATGCGCAGCTACACGAACACAGACACACATCGACCTACATGCGCAGACTTACACAGATGGACTTATGCGTGCGTCAATGCACGTCCAAACATGCACCGATCGTCACACCAACTCCACCTTTGTCCGCAGTCTTTCACAATCACAACTTATACGCCCCCAGGACTTAGTAGGGAGGCCGATTCCGTTGCGGAATTTATACTTCGCTTTCAACAAATGAAAGAAATATGCTACGAACCGAGCAAGGACGCGTTTTAAGGGGCTCCAGGTGACGTTTGCAAGCCGCGTTTTAGAAGGTCCTTTCCAGGTCCTTTCTCCACTTTGCGCGCAGTGCACGACCTCGCGGTACGACCTCGCGGGCCATGACGCGGTACGACCTCGGCCCAAAGAATGCGTCGGTTCTGCCGACGCGGCGTGGCCTTTGTGGTCATCATCCTGCTTCTTCTTGCTGTTTTGGCATAAACCTTAGACATCGCCAAGTACGTCCTTTGTTCTTGATAGCTTCATTCCTGATCTGGTTTGACATGATTAGACTCTCCAAGGTTGGGCTGACTTGGGAGTCAGAATGGCTGCCTGATGGTTTCGCCAATTTGGTGAGCTCCCAGGCCTTCAAACATTGAAATAAGAATAATACTCAAAATTTCGGATCGAATACTATTGAATGATACGCTTTAAAGAGTTCTGGCCCAGTCGTTGCTCTTGCCTCACTTGCTAGGCTCTCACAAGTGCAGAGCCAGTTGAAGGAGGATGGAACTTGCCAAGTCAATCCTCACAACTTCCAAGACCTGTGTTGAGCCAATCTCTCCAACCTAAGAGCTGTGGCCTCCACCCTAGTAGCTTCAAAGACATACTAGAAAGCTTTATTGTTACTAGTAGCGAACCTTGCTCCTAGTAGTACGGCCACGAGCCCCTAGTAGCCAACATTGCTCCTACTATATGCACGAAGTCTAAAGGCCAACTCTCAGGAGCAGATGGAGCAGATTTGGTTGCGACAACCTCCACTGCTCGACAGACGACATCCACGACTTCCTCGAAGCCGAGGGCTGCACTCTCAGTGCTATGCGTAGACATTTCTTGTTAATTACTAGTAATTAGCTTCTTGTTCCTAGTAGTAAGGCCAGGAGCCCCTAGCAGCGTCCTTGTTACTAGTACAAACAGCTCTGCCAGAGCTTTGCCAATACACTTTGACGAAGTGGAGCTGAGGACGATGGTTTATCCTTGTTTTGTTTCGCGTGGACCCCACGACGGAAGTTCGACGAGCAGCTTCTGTCGGAAGTGCGGATTCAGCACCTTGTCCTTGTCGATTTCTGTCAGAGCGATGCGATGCGTTTTACACAGACTGCTTCGATGAACCCAGTTTGAGTTCATTTGAGATGTGATCCTGTACCGTGCGTTTCTGCTTTTCTTCGTCTCCAGGTTTGCGAAGTGTGATGGACATGTCTTTTACACCGACATGGGTTCTCCTGGAGCAGAGGACCGTAACGCGAACAAAGCAACGGGTTTTAGGATGCTTTGGGAGGGCTAGGAGTGGGTAAATACAGGAGATGACATCGTGACATGTGTGTGACGAGATGTTTGCCAGTGATTGTGCAAATAGAAGCAGAAAAGCTACGTTCGTAGCGTCCTTGCTACTAGTAGAAATGCCCTTTGCTCCTAGTAGCTTCTTGTTACTCGTAGCCACTAGTAGCGTCCTTGCTACAGCTAAGAGAGACCATCATGTTCTTCTCTGCAAGGAGGATGACTTCGTTCGAGTGAAACTTCCCGCTCAGAAAGTTTCCAGAGACAAGGGTGGCTGGCTCTACCACAGGTCCGCGGTGTTGTGCACTTTGCGCGAAATGTTTTAGTGTAGCCACGTAGCTTCCCCCCAGGTTGGTGGTGAAAGCTGTGTCGAGCTTTTCAGGCTGATTTCTTGGTGAGAAAGGCAAAGTCGTTTTACTCGTAGGTTGAAGAAGAAAATGTGCTCGAATTAAAAACAAAAGCGATGGCCTCCCAAGAACTTTACAGGTGTTGAAGATAACCATGTCATTTGGCATGCCAACATAGAACAACTACAACCATTCGCAATCGGCAAGGGCAAGCTGAGGCTTTTCAAAAAAAGGAATGCAAAAATAGGATTAGCAGTTCTGCAAAATCATACTGGTACTAAAGATGTTCATTTCATTTCATTCTCGTTTTGGGTCGAAAGAAATCGGAAGATGCAACCCACTTGAACTATATTTATCTGATGACAAGACAAGAAGAGTGTCTTTTCCAAAGCCACGCCACTAACAACTTTAGAAGGCAAATTAAGCCGTGGAGCCAAAAGTTGTTTTGCAATTGGTGCTAGTAGCGATGCCGGATGCCCTCGCTCCTAGTAGCTTCTTGTTCCTAGTAGTAAGGCCAGGAGCCCCTAGTAGCGACCTTGCTGCTACTAGCGATGCCCTTTATTACTAGTAGCGATGCCCTTTGCTTTGGTTTCATTGCAAAACCTTGTGCAACTTGAGAAGCTGCCTCACTCCATGAATTTGGGTTTGCGACACTTGTGTTGCACTGCCGCACTGCCGTTAGTTCCTTGTTGCAAAGCTCTGTTGGGACACTCCCGCCAACTGTTGCCCAGACTAGGCAGCAAGGCCGGCTTTCTTTGCTACATTTTGCTACTCCATGCTAGAAGGCGCACTGACATGGAAGTCACTATCCGATCCCGCCACTACTCCGAACAAAAGAGCAAAGGAATCCCAGCGCACGTGTTACTTTATTAAGTTGATGCAATTTCAACGACAAGAATTGATGCATTGTCTGTATTTTTGGAATAGTAACGCTTTTTGAATAAAGGACAGGGTTTTGAAAGGATGCCTTAACAACTCATTCATTGAAAGCTGCCTTTGACGCAAGAGTTCTGAGAGGAACATGGTGGGTTTGATGCCTGCACTGACGAACCTCCTGGGAGTCTTGGATCAGAGAAACATTCCAAGACAAACGGAGAAATCTGAAAATGATATCTGGAATTAAGCAATATTAGGAGCAAGAAGGGGCTCCTGGCATCGCTACTAGGAGCAAGGACGCTACTAGGTTGGAGGCCATCGCTATTAGGTGGAATTAAGCAATGAGTAGAGTCAGTGTCAGTAGAATCTTAGAGGGCAGAGGTTCGGGTCACAAGGCTTTCCTCCACAGATTGGCCACAGCAGGGGACCAGTCAAAGTCTAGAGCAGGTGTGTTTAGTGTTTTAGACGCTTTGAAAGCCAATGTAAGAAGCTATAGTTCTATTTATCCAAGTTTGTTCAGTCTTTAACAAGGGTAAAGGCTCCTTTTATGATCCTTTAAAGGGTAAAGGGGCACCCAAGTACCTTTGATTCTTCCTCTCCTTAGGGTTTTGCCCTCGTCAACCTCTTTCTACCTGCTACTAGCCTTAAGTCAAGGACCACTTGCGTACTTGCGTCGTTTCGAGGATCAAAGCTGATAGAGCGCTATGATTGGTTCATCAACTCTGAACTGGACCATTTCTTAAGCCCAGCAGAGCCCCCAGAGCTCCCAGCTCCGCAGCGCGAGAGCGTGAGTGAGCGCTTTTTGTCGTTCAGTGTACATCGAATGGGCAAAGTGTGACTCTTACAGTAGGACTTTAGTAGGACTCCTGAACACATATTAGGAGCAAGGACGCTACTAGGCGCTCCTGGCCTTACTACTAGGAGCAAGGACGCTAGTAGGTTGGAGGCCATCGTGCCTTACCTTTACTACGGACTATGCGTTGAGGCCAGGGCAAGGGCCAACATAGCTGCCTACGTGAGTCACATCGATACTCCAGAGGACATGCTTTTATTTTGGCAAAGTCTTAATTATGGAGTGAAGCAAGAGTGGAGCAAGAGTTAAACATAATATACTAATAACAAGAAGCTACTAGCAGCTAGGACGCTACTAGGGGCTCCTGGCATCGCTACTAGGAGCAAGAAGCTACTAGGGGCTCCTGGCCTTACTATTAGGAGCAAGGACGCTACAATACTTGTTCAACCATAGTTCGGCCTGCAGGACCGCCCTGTCATGCTAATGTGGGGTAATGCTTTCGTCCGGACCTTGAGCCGAACCACTTTTTGCCTTTGAAAGACACCACAGCTCCAGTCTGCAACAGATTTGTGTTTTGCAACAAGGTCTTCAACCGGAAACTGCTTCAAGAGCTGCAGAAGTATTGGCATACGTTAGGCCAGAACTCACTACAAACTACAAGCCAATTTGATTCTTTTAGTTCTGGTGCAAGTAAGCCGGGGATAGATCGATGGGAGACGGACCCTTCTCATTGACATTCTTCCGGCTTTTCAGTCGCTTTGGCCTGAAGAGATAATGAAGATGAAGATATGATGACATTTCTATTTGGTTGGAGGCCATCGCTATCAGGTTGGAGGCCATTGCTACTAGGTTGCCATAATGAAGATACCATGTCTTAGCTTTGTGGCTTTGCCGCTTTGTCTGTCGATGCCCCTTCACCTTTGGTTTCAGTGTCGAAGGTGTCACCGCATCTGACAACGGCACAAAAGATGAAGCAATTGCTGTTGGATGCCCTATGCTCCTTGCCAGCAAGGACGCTACTAGGAGCAAAGGACATCGCTACTAGGAGCAAGGACGCTACTAGGGGCAAGTTAGCAACTTGAGAATGACAACCATTGAGAGCCTGGCATACTGCAAGCTGCGTAAGCTGCGGAGTTATGAGGTTCATGAAGGGCAAGGCAGAATGGCCGGGCTCTTGCTCACAGGACATCATTTATCCGGCATTAGTTTTGCGCTTAGCCCCACACACTCTGGAAGACAAGGGAGACAAGGAGACAAGGCTTCAAGGTCAGACAAGGTCGGGCAAGCTTCGCGCTTTGGCGATCAGCATAGACCCGAATCATGACATTTCTGGATGTCCTTAAGTCTTTTTGAGATTCTTTCTTAAAGCTACTACTTGTAGGGGCTCCTGGCCTTACTACTAGGAGCATTCTTGCTACTAGGAACTCCTTCAAGACTCTTTTGAGTGAAGCCTCAAGGCCTGGGACATTTTACCGAAGATCTCCAAGCAGAAGGTGATGACCTTGGGGGATCCAGGCTGTGGACATCCGTCCAAGTTCCAGAACAAGGCCTGAAGATGTACCTGTCATATGTCCTTTGCATTTGGCCTTTTTGCTTTAGCTTTTTGTTGCAGGGCTTCTTTGAGTTCCAATCATTTTGCATTGAGTTTCTAGAGCCTTCACGAAGGAACTCCCTCTTGGATGCTGGGAGATGCAACAGAACCCCTTAGGTGGTGAATCCTTGCAAGGCACAGCCAGATGTGGGCAAGACGGCACCAAAGCCAGATTGCAATACAGCTTAGAAGCCAACGTATCCTTTTGATTTCCTGAGAATATTCAGAATTGTCACACAAGATCCGAATCTGTCGAAGATCATTTCCTGTACGTTCCTTTGTTCGACACTGCAGTAGTTCACAAGACGATTAACATGAGGATCGAAAGGAGCTTGTGCCAGGTGAACTGAAAGCAATTCGAGTACTAGCCGACATGGAAAGTTTGAATGCGGACAGACGCTGGGAAAGTGCAAGTTGAATTGTTTGAACAGCTCATTTTCAACACCAATGTTTGTCGCGCAGGAAGCAGCCGAGTCGTATTGTGTGGCGCACGGTGATCCGCTTGCAAAGAACTGTGCCTGGGACAACCCAGAAAACAAGAGCGAGACAAACCACATCAATATATTATGTGTCGCTTCTTGGTCAGAGGCCATCGCTATAGGTTGGAGGCCATCGCTTCTAGGTTTGAGTCCATTGCTATGGGTTAGAGGCCATCGTTCCAAGTTGGAGGCCATCGCAACATATATATATATATAGGGGTCTCATTGCAGAGCTGCATGTCCGAGGCAAGAAGTTTCACGATGGAAGCACCTCTGCTGCACGGAACCGCTTCTTACTGTGAGGGCTCTTCAAGCTTCCCGTCGACTACCAGTCTACCGATGTCTACTGCCGACCAAGATGATATGTTTTGGTAGTGCACTGTTCACTTAAAAATTCATATGATTCGCATTTGCGGGTCTTAGGGCACGTTGCCGTGATTCACCATGTGAACAATCTCGCAGTGCACAGCTTGGCGCGCCAACTCTTGGACCACGAGACAGTCGGCGCGGTCGCTAGCAGTACGGCCGCTGGTGCGGTGGCTGGTGCGGCGCCTTTGCAGTGCCTTGCCCCTCAAAGCTTCAGAGCCGAGAATGAGACCTTTAGACTTCCACTTTCTGTTCTTTTTTTGCTCGCCCTTAGTTAATTGAGTAGGTAGGCGCCTATTTAATTAAGGGAGGGGTAAGCGGCAAGCTTGTTCACTTCTAGTTACTTAAGGCTACTCCCTGCTGGACGCAGGATAGCTCACGCTTCTTCAAGGAAGCTCGCCCTAAGGGAGCTTCCTTGAAGAAGCATTGATAGTCTTTGTAGCAACTATGAGTTTATTTGGTCTTTCCATGATGCATAAGGACTGCGGTTTCAACGTCAAAAGCACCGGCACCTTTCTTGGCCACGGCTTCGCCAACTGCCGGTTCTTCCGTTCCTGTCAGTCAGATGGGCCATTCCGTCAGCGACATTCCTGTTTCTCGCCCCAATCGGCTCAGTACCAATATGAATCTTGGCTTCTTCTCGGACATAGTGACGGTGTCTCGCTTGGGATTTGAACGTCTCGTAGCAAGGACGCTATTAGGTGGAGGCCATCGCTACTAGTAACAAGAAGCTACTAGGGGCTCCTGGCATCACTACTAGGAGCATTCTTACTACTAGTAATTAACAAGAGGCTATTGTCGTTTTTGGTCAAGGACCTTGTTCTGCTTTGCGTGGTCGCCTCGACGCAAGAATGATGAAGGGGTGCTGAACGAGGCCGGTGAGGTTAACTCGAACACAAAAGTGTGTCCGTCCAGAAACCCTCGTTGCTTTGTGTCCTTCTAGGTAAGGAAGCAGTATCGGAAGTGCGATGGCCTGAAACTCAGAGCTGAACACGTTTGTCGGGATAGCAGGGGCAAGCTTGAGAGGGAGTGACAAAAATAGGAAAGGAGGACATTCGATTACTAGTAACAAGAAGCTACTAGGAACAAAGGGCATCACTACTAGGAGCAAGGACGCTACTAGGGGCTCCTGGCCTTACTACTAGGAGCAAGTCACGAAAGGTAGCGGTTACGCTACCTGAGTTTTCCTTTTGCTTTAGCAAAAATGTATTAACCCAGAGCTGCAGCCTATCTCTCGGAGAAATGGTCCCCGACATCTTCGTTTGCTGGCCGGGGGGGGGGGCCCCCCCCCCCCCTTTCAACTCCACCCTAGCGCGCCTCGGGGTCAACCGTTCGAAAACACTGTAAATATCAGTGTTTTCAGCTCTTCCAGTCCTCAGCAGTGACCAAAAATCATGGAATTTACAGCGTTTTTTGTGGCTGTCCGGCAAAAAACACCGCAAAAACCGATGGTTTTTGATGCGCCTCGGTTAGAAAAATGACCAAAAAAAGACCAAAAACCAGGAAAGATTTTGTCAGAAAGGGTTTTTGAGGCTTTTGGAGGCTTCAAAATTGCACAAAACTATGGTATTTACAGGGTTTTGTGCACCTTCCCGGCAGAAAACGCCGGTATTTACACGGTTTTCTGCGCTTTTCCAGCGCTCAACCGTGGTGCGCCTTTGGATCGACGGCTACAAAATACCGTAAATACCAGTGTTTTCAGCTCCTCCTGTCTTCAAGCGTGGCCTTAGACCTTGCCGCGGCTGTGGATCGACGGCAACGAAACCTCGTAAATACCAGTGTTTTTTGAGCACGTCCTGTTTGCAAGCATGGCCTGCGGCCACGCAATTTAAAGGGTCGCCGCACGTCACTATGTAAATCCGAAGTTGCATTTGAGAAATATGTGACTCCTTTTGAAGGCACGTCAACCTGTATTGAAACCGCTAGACCGCTACAGCTTCTGGAGGTTTTGTCAAGCGCTTGTGCATTAGTTGTTCTTTCAACACGCTCACTCACTTCTCTTCAAACAAGTGGGGGGCCTCTCACCTCCTCCCGGATTACGCCTGATTCCCTGCTACCTTTCGTTCACCCCCCTCCTCTCTCAAGTAGCTACTAGGAACGAAGGGCTACGGTAATTTTGCACAGTGAGAGTGATAGCTGGAAATGGAGATGTAGGGGTCTAGGAGTGCAGATTGTGACGATTTGTGGTATTTGGGGGTGATGGAGATGCCAAAGTGACATGCATTCGCATTATCAGCATGATGGCATGGGCACATCTCACCAGTCACCCTTGCTTGTCATGAGATAATATGCCAATGCTGTGATCTCCAAGCGCCTGCGACCAACAAACACCTACCTTTCTAGTAAGCACGGGCCGGGGGCCAGCTTTCATCACTTGGACACAGTGACCAACCAGACCCACTACCCCTAAAAGGCTGCGAGAGAGCACAACAAATTGGCAGAAATCATCACATTCGCAACAAGCCTTCAAAAACTAACACCTTCTGACGTCGCCCTTGAAACCCAAAAAGCAACAGACACCTCCTGATGTTGCTTCTGAAGTCACCAGTTTGCTTGCAGCAGCTAGCGCTGCCTTTATTGATGGAAACAATCTAAGCAACTTCTTGCTCCTACTAGCGTCCTTGCTCCTAGTAGTAAGGCCAGGAGCCCCTAGTAGCGATGCCCTTGCTCCTAGGAGCAAATGCCCAAGGATGTGAAAGATTTCTTTTCGGTTGGAAGCCATGTCATGTGCCAATTCGGTTATATTCACTCGCGCACGAGCCCGAATTGGTTGGACCTTTGAGTTCGCGTCGCCCGTGAAGACTGTAGCCCTTATTGCTCCGGCTACTTCCGCAGATGTCCGGGAACCAGGAAATATGTGTGTTCGATATATGTTATAACATTTATTTTATACTGATCATGGCGTGATGCTGCGATTGGTTTATTTTCTTTTTGAGCAACCCCGGTTTTGCGATTCATTTCATGTGATGTGCAGCAAATAGATAACCCACAGACTTAAGCTCATGCACGCGTGGGAGCCTTGATGCAATCTGTGGAGACGCAGTCCGAACACATGTTGTTATACTACTGACAGTTTCAGCGGAACTTCGCTTGATTACAGTGTCCAGTACACGAAAGTAAACCTTGACTGTGCCACTTGGAGCTTTGAGGACATCTCTTTTTCACTGACACCGCAAGTCCCAACAAGACAGATGAAGAGGACTTCGTGCGCATCATCGTCCCACAGCAAAGGCTGCAGCTTGGACATAACTCTGACAAAGTATTTTCATCATGGAAATCTGATACTTTCAAGAGACATGTTTCATCTTAAGGAAGGAAGACAGGAAGAGACAGGAAGGAATATCAGATAAAAGGTCTAGAGGTCTTGAAAGACAAAACGGCCACATTGCCGACAAAAGGAAAAACGGCAACGATGAAACGTCCAAGTCTGAGGGCACGTGGCCATGGTCAATGGCAGCGTTCTTAGGATTAACATTCCATCAAAACATGTGTCGAATCCAAAAAAACATGTTCGCTTTTGATGAACAGCTTTGCATGACCCTTTCAGAACAGTTTCTTCAACGAAGCTTGATGAACGCTTTTTGTTGAGGCTGTACCACCGGAACATGGTGGGATTGATGCCTTCATGGGAATACTTGTTGCAGTCAGGTGTAGCAGATCAGTATGACTTTCGGCTGCATTCTTAGTAACAAGAAGCTATTTGAAACAAGCGCATTGCTACTAGTAACAAGTGCCTTACTAGTAGTAACAAGGACGCTACTAGGGGCTCCTGGCATCGCTACTAGGAGCAAGTGCCTTACTAGTAGTAACAAGAAGAATTGCCGTATGCAGTGCTCACTGGTTTCACTCCGAATCATTGTGAGCTGAGGATTGGTTGCTGAATTCAGAGCTGGAAACTCAATGAAACGGATTCAAGTAGCTTCAGTAGCCTCTTGTTTCTAATAGCTTCTTGTTACTACTAGTAAGGCGCACTTGTTACTAACTAGAAGCGATGCACTTGTTACTAGTAGTAAGGCACTTGTTTCTGATGGGTTCTGAGTTTCAGGATTCAACTTCAAGTCTAAGGCTGGACCATTTCCTCAGTCCATCTCGTGCAAAGGACCTCAGCATATGATACTAGCTGTCCAGATGTGTCAGAGACCTGTTCAATGACAGACTTGCACAGGAGAACATCGAGGCCTATTTGCAGAAAATGGAGGAGACAAAGTTGAAAGGAAGCGCGTGGGTGGCGTTTTGAGGAAGTGCGTTTTTGTGCGTGGGTTGTGTCCGGACTCACAGTCCGACCCTCAGGAGGGCAACAACGAAGATAAGCTCGCGGTGGATGGTCCGATCATGCTGATGTGCCCAGCTGCAGACATCAGTGACAGCCTGGTAGACATTAGTCAATGCTAGAAATGACTGGATTCTGCTTTCCTAAATCCGGAAAAATCGATCTGATTGAGCTTCTTGATTGCACGGATTTGAAGAGATCAGTTTAGTCTGAAATCGCACACACTGTTTTGGTTTTCGCAATGTTAGAAATAGTACTGTACTAGTACTTGATGAGTGTTCATGATGCTCCTTAAGCCTGAGGATTTTTTGTTTTCAATTTAGATGTATGCGAAACCGATGGGCAGATGCGTGACCCACAGATTTTGGAGAAGAGTGACAGAAAAAACGCGCCAGATTTGTCCAGGTGGGGGAATGCTTTCGTCTTCAACCGGAAGTTCGTTCAGGTGCTTGGAAGCTTTTAGGTTGAAGGCCATCGCTCTTAGGTTGGAGGCCATCGCTACTCGGGTGGAGGCCATCGCTACTACGGTGGAGGCCATCGCTACTACGGTGGAGGCCATCGCTACTACTGTGGAGGCCATTGCTACTAGGTTGGAGGCCTTCGTTACTAGGGTGGTGGAGGCCTTCACTACTGGGGTGGTGGAGGCCATCGCTCTTAGGTTGGAGGTCATCGCTAGTACTTTGCTTCAAGGCCTTGGCAGCCTTAGCACTTGTAGCTTCCTATCCCATGCTCGCCTGCTGGCGAGGCGCTCAAAGAACATTGGCCTGTTGTGGGTCAAGTGGCGTCAACGGACAACCAAACTTCAAAGGAAGGCCGTGCTGTTGGTTGTCCCTTGTGACCTGACAGCATGAGGAAGTAGAAACCTGGAAAGCCATCCAAGATTTTCTCTCAAAGTTATCTGAGGTTTATGAAGGGCAGATCAGAATGGCCTGATTCGTGCTCTCAAGACATCATTTACCCGACTTTGGCTATGAATGTCTTGTCGCTCGGCCTTGATTAAGTTTTGACCCGGTTCGAAGAAAACAATGCCCTGCAGCGCCTCCATTGTAAATCTGTATCGTTTGAGTAGCTCAGAATATAGCGAAACAGGCCAGAGGATTTGATCGCCGCCCGATGCCCTTACCCTTCCAGGGCTTTTCTTTTGATTGGTGGCACGTGAAGCATGCAGTCTGATCTACTCAGTACCACTCCTGGCCAAACTGCTGACACTTGAACTGGCTTGGTGTGAAGTTCGTCGCCACTTGCTGTAAACGTTGCAACTCTTCCCGCATTTAAACAGCCCAGGCTAGAGAGTAGCTCGGAGCAGCATAGTTTGCAGTAATATGCGGGCGCTTTTGTCGTTCGCCACATCCTCTAATTACAGTTGCAATTTGCTCGCCCTAGACTGGCCCACCTCATCTTCGTTGAGTTTGACTCAGACTCCGTTTTTCTGGACGTTGAACGTGGACTGAAGTAAGGTTGAAATGGGTTGACTGTGAAGTTGCTTTGATTGACAAATGACGTAGCTATTGTTCATTCCCCAAATAGCACCTTGAACTGGGGGGTTCCTTGCTGTGCACAAACGGAAGCATTCCCGGTGTGCATGTTCTTTGCGTGGTAAGAGCTTGCGTAAGAGCTTGGCTTTTCTCGCCCGTTTGAGATCATGGTGGCATTGCTTCACGTGGCTTCTTGGCTTTGGTGCCTTTGCCCCCTAGTAGCTTCTTGCTACTAGTAGCGATGCCCTTGCTCCTAGTAGGAAGGCCAGGAGCCCCTAGTAGCTGCACTTGTGAAACCGGAGCCGGCCTTGCAATTGTTATACAGTAACTCCTTGGGCTACCGTTGTGACAGCCTTTTGCACCGCGTCTGTAGTGCTGCATGGCCGTCAGCTTGCCATCGCATTTTTCTCGTCTTTGGCGAACGGTGCGAAGCAAAGTGATGTCAAGCTAGCCTGGCTTTTTGGACTGTCTTCAGACTCTGATTTCCTCGTTAAACCGCATCAAGCCTAGGCCACCTTTGAAAGTGAAGGCGAGCCTTTGAGTCGATCCAAGTGTCTCAAAGAGTACAGAAGTAGACTTGGTTTGCTAAACTCGGCATCTTGATTTCGCTGACTTGTTTTGCGAGTTGCTTTCATCAGGTAGCCTTTCCTGGAGCATCTGGCTGTGGCCAACATTCCAAGAACCGGAAGAACAGGGACAGACGTGGAGTTTTTGGGTGTCAGCTCCAGAAGCAACGTAAAGGCATTGCTATTAGTAGCAAAGGGTCGATAGCCTCTCTCTTTCGCTCTCAGGAGTATCCCTTGGGATGCTGGGAGATGCAGCAAAACCCTCTGCAAGGAGAGTCAGAAGCGGGAGAATTGGCGGCCATCAAGGACAGAAACACGCTGACACCAAACATGTGGGCTAAGAAGTTATCAACACGTCCAAGCATCATAGAGTTTACTGCGCAGTAGACTGGAGGAACTCGCTCAAATGGCTACATTCAAGGTGGACAAGCTTGCTGAGCTGTGCGAAAGGTTTTCCAATGTTTTCCAGATTTCTAACGTGAAAGCTTGGTGGAGGCCATCGCTAGTAGGTTGGAGGCCCTTACTACTAGGAGCAAATAGCTACCTGTAACAAGAAGCTACTAGGGGCTCCTGGCATCGCTACTAGGAGCAAGGTTACTAGGGGCTCCTGGCCGTACTACTAGGAGCAAATAGCTATATACATGTAACAAGAAGCTACTAGTAAGCCACTTGCTCTGGTGGAGGCCAAAAGCGAAGCAAAGGCTTACTGCGACTTGACGCACATAGTGCGGGCTCGTGTACACTCCGGAGTGCAATGTTCCGTGCGGGCTCTCTCGGGTCTCGAGGTGACCGCCATGATTTGGAAGTCATGCAGAAGAACTGCATGAAATTCTGGGATGGCAGGAGAACAGAATATGTTGACCTCAATAAGAATAGTTATAGGTTAGAACAGTTCTTGTTTGCAGATGTTTGCATATGTTTCAGTGATTTGTGTTGCTTCTTGTTTCAAAGATTTTGGGAGGAGGGTTCCTCTCATCCACCACCTTCACACAGTGCCTGGACCCTAGAAAAAAGATTGCCATTTAGCATTTCTTGCTCCATGTTTTTCGACGAGGTCTGAGCATGTTTTAGCCCGGACGCTGCTGGATAATGACCCTGACCCTTGAGATTGGCCAAACATTGGCCAACTTGGTTTGTGGATAGCGAGCGACAAGATGCAATGTTGAAATGGAGTGGCTGTGCGTTACGAATAGGCCTGTGCAAGACATGCATCTTGTGCAGCTTCATGCAGCTTCAAATTCCTCAAAGCAAGCTTTGCGAGCACATCTCAACAAGACAGACAGTGAACAGTCGCTGAACGGTTCAATTGTCAATGAATGGAAATGCTTTGTGCAAAACCTTTTTGCACGCAGCAAACCGAAGCTCTTTTCATGCAGCATACATTGTACTGGGGGCAACAAACGCGTGTGCTTTGTTGGGTTTGGGTAGAACAATTGACATATTCCTCTATGTCGTATGCCTGCACCTGTGAGGAACTCTAAGGCACACGCGCTCGGAGAAATCCGAACTGAAACTTCAAACTACTAGTTGAGTTCATATTGATTGGTTACTGCAGAAGTGACAGGGTAGACTCCCAGAGCAAAGGCAAGCTAGACTAATATAGCGACTTCAGGGTTGAAAGCTTCACAGATCGGTTGGGGGGGTGTATATGGAGGGTGTACTGAGGTGGAGAGTAACTGATACGGCAGAAGCAAGGATTCTTGAGCTTTGCAAAGCAGCCACTTTTTGCAGGATGGGGAGTTTGTGCCAAGGACGGGGAGCGGAGAGCAAACGTTAAACCTGCAAACATTTGCACATACAACAAAGAGGCGGTGCAGACCCTATTCTAGTGGGCACGCCTTAGATTGATGCCACTATCCTACTTTACAAAGAAATCCCCTGAGCAAAGCAATGCCTTTTGAAGCAATATATAAGTGCATATCCTGCAAAAGCGTTGTGCAGCAGGCGCATTCTATTGACCGGCGGAGCTGGCTTCATCGGGTGGCTTGCCTCAACCGTAGATTCAATCGCTCCGTTGAGTCCAATCTGAATCTGAACAGATGGTATTCTTCTCCTCTCACCTGTAAATGGAAGAAAGAAAGAAAGCAATGAAAAGGAAAGAAAATAAGAACGGCGTAAAGGTACAAAAGGGAAAAGACAGACATGGAGAAGAAAAGGCCGTTCAAATTCAGTCTTGTGTCGCGAAGTTCACCTAAGTACTCAGGTCCAACGTCCTCATCCACTTAGTGCATAAATATCCAGAGGCGATTGGGGAGCTCAAATTTTGCATAAGCAAACTGAAAGCTGAAAAGCTCATAAGCAGCTAATAAATTGCACTAAAGCGCTCAAACTTGCCCAAAATAAAGGCTGGGACTGTCATCAAAAGGTCTTCGGACAAGATGCACTGGCTGAATCTTTGAGTGTTCAAGCCCCTGGGTCTCAGTAGAGGCTAGAAGCTACTAGGAGCAAAGGGCATTACTACTAGGAGCAAGAACGCTAGTGAGGCCAGGAGCCCCTAGTATAGTAGCGTCCTAGTAGTGTTCAAGCCCCTGGGTCTCAGTAGAGCTTTGAACTGGAGCTCTTCGCAGGTGCGATTTGTTTGCCTTGATAACCTCTCGGAAGGCGAGGTGCTTCTTGAGCAGAGCTCTACTTAGACATTATCCATAATTCTGATGCATTTGCACATTGCTATTGCTAGTGGGTTGAAGGCCATTGCTTAGTAGGTTGGAGCTGTTAGGTTCCTCGTTTCGGCTGCATTTTGTCACACGTTTGGCGACACTGAGATACTCTTTTTCCGGGTTCCTAAAATATAAAAGGATGTTAAAAGGATATAAAAGACTAAAAGCGATGGCCTCCAATCTAAGAGTGATGGCCCCCAACCTACTAGCGACGGCCTCCAACCTAAGAGCGATGACCTCCAATCTAAGAGCGATGGCCTCCAAC